GCATTCGGGCTATTCTCAAAGGAGCAGAAAAGGTAACCAGCTCTTTTGAACATAAATTCATGTTAGTTCTTTGTTCAGATTTCTCGACAAAAGATATGTAGAAATCTCCATGGTTGTATAACCCAGGAAACCCAAGAATACAATTGAGAACAAACTGCTGCTTTAGGCCTTCTAGCCTTTAGCAAAACATGTAAACAATTGATGTGCTTACATTAGAGGAGATGGTTTATTACATGGATGCCCGGCTATGTAGCTACGTTTGCACTCTTTAAGCACTCGGTTGACAACACCTTGCTTGGATTATTGTGTGATCTATTACTCTGTGGTAGTTGTAATGCAGAAGCACCGAGCTTACATCATCCATCGGATATACCTTATTTGCATCTCAACATATTCTCTCATTACCAGGTGTAACGCCTCAGTTATCTTGCTTGAGATGGATCGCATACTCAGACCTGGTGGTAGGGCGTATATCTGTGATAAAAAGGAAACGATAGAGGAGATCAAGGAAATAACAGACGCGATGGGATGGAGATCCACCATACGTGACACTGCTGAAGGCGCGTATGCTAGCAGGAAGGTTTTGATGTGTGACAAGCCGATGGTGCGCTAACCGATCAGGCAGACCATTCCCCGATCAGGCAGACCATTCCCCGGCAAGCAATGCTGCGGCGGGCGCCTGCGGTTTTAGTTCTCCGGCACCGCTGGAACTGACTACAAGAACTGCAGTGGACTGGAGATTGACATTGTGCTCCGTAGATAGGTTAGGTGGCGGTGAAAGCTGTAACTTAATTCGATTCATCATTTGTTTGTACGAGTCCGATCTAGCTCGGCGTGTTTTTGTTGTAACATATATATACGATGATCGAAAGAAGACTTGGCAAAGGTTTTGGTGAATAGAGAATGGATGAGATTTTTGTTGTACTGGGCTGTGATGAAAAGAGTGTTTGCTCCTTTGCGTGCATGGTGTCTCGATTCTGCTGACCGAGGTTTACAAATGTTCTATTACTGTTACGTTGGTCCATTGGATCTCATGTAGAATTGGAGTTGTCTCGACAGCTTTTGCATGTCACCTTTTATGTAGTTTTGATATGTTCTTCCATGCTGTATGTGGTACAGTTACATACTTGCATGCTATATGTGGGGGTGAAAAATGACAAGCCGGAAAATCAAACAAAAAATTCCGTATACAACTATAAGGATTTTTTTTTTTGAGGGTCATAACTATAAGGAAATGAGCAATAGGATTGGAACACTTCCTTTTCGAGAAACGTAACAATCTTTTAGAGCAGTAGGATTTTTGTTAAAGCTTTATTAGAGCAAGTAGGGCTGGAACATTGTATTCTGATTTTTGGTTTAGAGTCGATCGGCATCACTGACCATGGGCTCTCACAAAAGCCCAACAGGCCGATCTATAAGAGCGGAGCCCTAAACCGTACCATTATGTGAAAATCTATAGTTCTCAAAAAAAAATGTGAAAATCTATTTTTTCCCTCACAAAGAAAAATGAAAATCTAAATAACTATGAGATCTGTCCCACCTAATGCCAAACAAATTGACTGGGCATGCGGGCAAAGCTCAATTATCTACTGATTGTGGACAGTACTATCTCCACATACACAAGAACTGTAATCACCGGCCCGAGTACAGTTCATGAGCTCCTGCACATGTGAGTACAGTCCATGAGGGGAGTATATCATGTGATACCATGACTCAAGTGCTCCCATGCTCTAAGTTTAAAAAAGGTCAAATTTGGATGTGTTAATTTTTTGGTGTTTTTTATGAATCTTCACAAGACATATGTCTACAACTCCTAAAAGTTTCAGATCCAAATTTGAAATACACATTGAGAAACAAAAATAAATAAATTCAGATGTGAATAGTGTTGTCTTGGACACTATTCATATTGTCTTTATTGTTGACACTATTCATGTTGGATTTGTCTTTTTTGTTCTTAATGTGTAATTCGAATTTCGAATTTAGATTTGAAATTTTTAGGGGGTGTAAACATATGTGTTACAACAAATTCAGAATTTTTTCCCCTGCAAAAAAGTCAGATTTTTTTGACACTTCTAATGCATTTGCGCGGCACATTAATTGGTTGGAGGGCCGGGAGAGATTCTCTAGCTAGCGCTAGGGTGGATTTCAGCCGGAATACACACATGTAGTGCAGTATACAGTGCTAGCTGTACCCCGTATACACGCTAGTTGGGAATAACACGAAGGGAGGATGGTCAGGATAGCAACCACCATTAGCATATTTTCCGCTTAATATACCATCTATTTGTAATTAAATTATATAGATAGTGAATGTAACATGCATATACTCAATCATAAACAACCATTGAACAAATATATTGTGTGTGTGGTGGTGGTGGGGGCCCCTGATATATAAATGGAGGAGCTGGAACACTTCAGAAATGCATTTGTTGCAAGCAAATGAGTGTGTGTCATCTTGGCACTGGGCACCGCGTATATGGCCTCACCCAAATCAAATCTAACCAAGTCCATAGCAAAAGTGCGGCCAAAGTGGACATCTTCTGGTGCAGCCCAAAGAATGACGACTTTAAATCTGCTTTGTAGTGGTTACTAGCAGGGCAATAGGAATATCATAGCCCCGTGGTCAATCCTGTTGCAACTGTGGCGGACAGAAACGACCGCGGTGACAATACCTGCCATTATCTTCATGTCTGCCACAACAACTGGAAATATGAATGAAGTAAATGATAGTTCTATATATACACATGGGAGTTAAAAAAACAGAAGAAAGCATACGAAGAAGAGAAAATAAAGACATGTAAACATGTAAATAAGCATGTCCAATCCATACTTTTCCAAAATGTATAAACCAAGCTTTAGAATCATTGGTTTCCCCCTCTGTTTTTTTCTGCACTATTGTACAATTTTGAAGCAATGATAAATAATTCAAATATGGAGCTGCACGTGGCCAATCAGAAGAGGGGTTTCCTTCTGTAATATGTCTCCTAGGAGTTAAGCAATCTAAGTATCTAACTTTGAGATGATGTGTAGCCATGAGATAGGCCAATAATACTTAACTTGCTTTGGTGCACCCGTTTAGAAGGTTAGTGTCACGTAAGCATGTTGGCCACGTGTATATCTAGAGGTTTGGACCATCGGTTTTGAAAGAGTCGCAAGAGTTTAGGTTTCATACGATTCAATGTTTCTCAGAAAAATTAATATGTTTAAACATTTGGAGTGGCTTATTTGCTGCGAGCAAAAGACTATAGCACCGAGAAAATAGAACTTTTGTCACAACTGTAGCAATTTGTGGCTTCTAAGATGGCAATTTTAATTTTATAACCGGTAATAAGCTGCGGGCAAAAGATAGGGAAAAGAGAACTTTTGTCACAACTGTAACAATTTGTGGCTTCTAAATTCTGTTTGATGGCTATTTTAATTTTATTAATCGGCAATAAGCCGCGGGCAAAAGATAGGATCTTAGTATTTCAAGTAAGAGTTTGTAGGGTAGCTCTTTACCTGGCACGTTGCTTGATGGACACGAAAAGTGATGTGAATGTTGTGTCAAGAAAAGCTTGGTTTAAAAAAAAAAGAGATCCATAGGCACTAGCATTTAGGACATATTTTTATAGAAGAAGCCTACTGGGTGAGATCGCGAAAATTCGCTTCCGACACGAGTCGAACCCCAGTCTGCAAGGAAACACCACTGTGTCCTTGCCTAGCCCAGTTCTCGAAGAAAAACTTGGTTTCATTTAGGTCATAATAGACTTACTAGAGTGTGATACATCCTTTTCTTGGATCATGTATAGCTCCTACTGTGATGTGAGTGGCTACACATTGTGGTTATTTTCCTCGAATTAGAAATGCAGATGTTAACCATGGGCTTGGCGTGCAGGACCTTTTTGCTATGGGACGCCAACTTTTCAGCAAGGCCCATGGTTCGGAGTCATATTTTTGAGTCCACGTAGTATAACAAAGATACCGTGGCAAAAAAAAAAATACCACTTTTATAACATTTTTTTGACCACAACAAAATAAAAATTTGATCGGCATGCAAGTTTTGTTTTGCTGTTCGAGTCATTTTTTGTCCCCAAACAAAAAGAATAGTGTCATTTTGTCACAGCTGCATTTTTTTGCGTGTGTTGGGTATATCAATTCTAGTGTTTCACTGTTAGTTGGTCCGCTGAATCTCATGTAGAGTTGGAGTTGTCTCTGCACATTTTTCATGTCAACTTTTATGCAGGAAATCAAAATAAAAAACGGGGAACTGGAAAATAAATACAAAAGCTGAAGGAAGAGAAAATCAGTACCTGATGATAGCTCGATATGTTGTTCAATTTTTTTGAACAATATTTTTCTTCGAGGGTTTTTTGAACAATATTTTTCGAGGACCTTTTGAACAATATTTGAGCATTTATCAAGTGTACCCGCCGTGGTCTGTACCATGGGCTCTCACAAAAGCCCACCAGGCCGAATGATAAGTACGGAGCCCTAAACCAAGTTCTCGTCTCAGATCCCCTGCCGTGTGGTAGACACAGCGCCAGCCGCCAGGTTGGTTAGGGCAAATCTTGTTTAGTCCCACATCGCTCGTCCGCAGCAGCAGGCACGACGAAGAGGCTATAAAAGGGACCAGCTGCCACCTTAATCCTCACTTACCTGGACGGGGTCAATGAGCGATCAAGAAGACTCATGGCCTAGGTTAGCAGCCTCCATTGCACTTGGGAGGAGTGCTGGCTTACCATCTCCCCAAGCGGGAGAATGGACGTCATAATTTGTGGTAGAGGGGGTACGCGTTCGCGCGGCCCCTGCCAATTTGAAGTTAAAATTTTCAGTTATCTTGCTTCCTTTTTGGTAGTTTGATTTGAAATTTGAAATGAAGTTTGCAGCCTTTGTCAAGCATCAGTGAAAAGAAGTCTCATGTTTTCCTTTTGGCATTTACACATTGCAATTCAGTTTAGGTATTTTGTTTGATCACACTAGTAATGCGATTCAAGTGCGCGTCGACCTCATCGTGTATTCTGCTACAAGCTTTGAGAACAGAGAGGATTTGTCCTCCAGCAACCTGGCTGGCGTTTGGTGCTCCACAGCCACGCCTGTAAAATTTTGCCAGTGTGTTCGTCAGTCCAGTACATAAATGTCACACCCAGATTGGGCAGATTAACAAGACGTTGCTTAAAGTTCATTTGAAGGGGTGATGATATGGTAGCTGACCATTGTCAAGAAGCAAGACTATATCGCTGTGAAGGACCGAGGTGATTCGATGCGCGATCGTGATGACGGTCGCCCCTGAGAAATGCTGCTGCAGTGTCTTCTGGATCAGGTTATCTGTTGCGGTGTCCACCGAAGCGGTGGCTTCGTCCAGGACCAGTATCTTGGTCCGTCTCAGGATCACCCTGCCGAGACAGACGAGCTGACGCTGGCCCACGCTCCAGTTCTCTCCGTTCTCCAGCACTGCGAGCGGAGTTTTGAATTTCAGAAATTTCAGAAAGAAGCCAGACTACAGGAATGTGAACTGTATGGTTCGATATAGATCAGACCTGGTGAGTCGAGTTTGAGCTCCTTTCTCCGAACTTCATCTCCTAGCTGACAGTGATCCAAGGCCTGATATGCAGAGTAACATTTTTTTAAGTGAGTGGTTTTAGAGCGTGTAATAATTCGAGAAATGAAAAGAAACGAAAGGACATCGAGACTACCTCCCAGATTTGATTGTCAGTGTACTCTCCTAGAGGGTCAAGGTTGTGTCTCACGGTTCCGTCGAACATCGTTGGGTCTTGCGGAATAATGCTCAATCTAGATCTCAGATCATGCAACCCGATGGTGCAAATGTCGACGCCGTCTACTATTATCTGGCCGACGGTGGGATCCATGATACGGAAAAGGGCCTGTATGAGTGTTGATTTACCACTGCCTGTTCTACCAACAATACCCGTCTTCATGCCTCCAGGAAAAGTGACTGTAAGGCCCTTCAGAACAAACGGTAGTTGTGGAGCATATTTCACCTGCATCACTCTGAAAATGTTAAGGAATTGTGATGGCAAAGCACCGGACCTAACAATTACTTTGGCCATGAGTCTAGATTTCTGACAGTTTACTGATAAGGGCAAAAAATGTACTTACATGGAGGTTATGGAGCTGAATTTCTCCCTCTGACGGCCAGTTATGAGCCAACCCATCTTCAGATATTGAAAGAGGGGCCTCTTCAGGAAGGCTTAGGTATTGCAAAATTCTCTCTACTGAGATGATCTTGTTCTCCAAATTGCACATGCTTGTTACAAGCGTTACTTGCATTATGTTCAGATTAAGCCCATATGTGACTACAAGGCCAGCAATTCCTGGACGTGGGATGGAATTTCAGTTGCAAACTCAGATCGTTTCCCCCACCATTTTGTTCAGTATAAAAAGTGTTCAAAACCTTTTCCTGTTTTTTTATACCGGTGTAAATTCCCCCTATCTTCAAATGAAACATAGATTCCAGGCTGTTATTTCAAAACAAATAAATGTCGGGAACTACCATCATACCTGGATCGATGATACCGGTCGGCAGATTGATTAAAAATATCAAAGAGATGGCAAATGTAAGGGATGATAGCATATCCATGCGGAAGCAAAGCCACTCCATTGCTCCAGCATTGTAGAATTTTGGTCGTGAGTAGGCATCCATTAGCTGGTTATTAGTTGCTAAAAACTGATTTTCCTTGCCAAAACTTCTAATGATTGTCGATCCAGTTATTGATTCTACAAAATGTTGTATGATAGGAGCTTTGCAAATCCCGACCATCCTTTGCAACTCTCTGGCTGTATCAATGTAGTAGCGCTGCAAAACAATAAATATAAGCGAAAATTCCATTTGTACCACCGAATAAGACCATAATTCTCTCTATACCGCTGAACACGTACCGCTAGTTTTGTTTTTTGATTTCATCTATTTTTGTACAGAAATTTGATCGGTTTTCTCCCAAAGAGCTGTGCCATAATTTGCTAAGAAAATTGTACACATAAGTTATAAATTTCTGGAAAATGGGTCTAAGTTTCTGTACAAAGGTGTTTGAAGTCTTCCAAAATTCTGTTCCCCCCAAAATATGCACAGAAATTTGTGCAAAAAGTATTTACAAATTTGTTCAGAGTTTGTACTTCCTCTGTTCCTAAATATAAGTCATTTTAGAGATTTCAATATGGACTACATACGGATGAATATAGACGTATTTTAGATTGTAGATTCACTCATTTTGCTCCGTATGTAGTCATATTGGAATCTCCAAAAGGACTTATATTTAGGAACGGAGGGAGTACGAAAGTTCTGCTGAGACTCAACGTCAACTTTTGGCGCCAGGGACATGGTGTACATAGTCCAACTAATGTCTATTTAGCATGCATAGAAAGAATCACATTACAAGTAAAAAACAGTCTTTACACACCTAAGGGGAATACATTGAATGAGGATGAGGATACATCGAATCGAAACGAAATACTCCCTCCGTTCATAAATATAAGTGTTTTTAGAGATTCCAATGCGGACTACATACGGAGCAAAATGAGTGAATGTACACTTTAAAATATGTCTATATACATCCGTATGTAGTTCTTATTGTAATCTATAAAAAGATTTATATTTAGGAACGGAGGAAGTAGTGATATTCAGTGGTACTGATGAACATTTCTCTCTATATACTTATATGTTGATCCTGCGGCTAAAACAGCGAAGGATAACAAGTAGGATAAAGTACCTGATACCAGAGGCAGATAGCAATTACAGGAATGAAAACAACAAAGACCTGCCATGCAACCTGAGACATCACAACAACAGTTCCACCAAGTTGTATGAAGGCAAACGCAATAGAGCCCATCCTGTTAGCAATGCTGGTGTCCACCAGGCTTTGATCAGTCGAAGCCTAAAAAAACAAGTTATTGTATCAACATGCTCCAAGCAAATAATAAACTGAACTTCCTAGGATTTGTTTTTGAGAATGACTTACCCTATTCAAGATGCGCCCACTTGGAGTGGAATCAAAGAAAGACATCGGAGCTCTGAATATGGACACATGCATCTTGTTAAACAGCAGAGTTGCTGTCTTGTATGCAGCTGGCACAAGAAACAGGGCTCTCACGAAGGTGCACACCGAGCTTCCTAGGGCCAATGCTACATAGACGTATATCAATGTGTACATGCTGACCGGAGGCTCGACGTCCTTCGACGCAGGAGCAGCCCAGGCCATCCAGTAATTGCTAGCAATGTGAAGCACTTCGAAAAGCATCTGCGCGAGCAGCACGAATGGCACAAGAGCTCCCCCATAAGCTAAGGTGAGATACTTCCAGTAGACCCAAAACCCCACCCTGCCCCTCTCCCTTTCTTCTTCTTGCACCAGCTGCCCACTCTGACCATGGCCATCATCTTGCTTGACATTTTGCTTATCCTTCTTCTCAGCTGATGGCAGTGATCCCGACAGGCTTGCTGCGCCGCTAGACGAGAAAGCCTCACTGGCTCCATTTGGAACTTCGATTGCGTCGATTGCTGCAAGAGCATCCTGGTGAGCACCAACCAGTTCCATAAACTCTTCCCCTGAGCCAAGTATTTCGTTGTAGCTGCCAGATTGTGCTATTACCCCATCTTTAATTACCTACAACACAGTTACTTTATAAGAGACATACTTCATGGCAATAAATATCACATGAAGATATTTCAAAAAGAAATATGCAAGAATGATCTGCTCATGAAGATCTCACCAGAATAAGATCAGCTGCAGGTAGAAATTCAAGCTGATGAGTGACATACACCACTGTTTTCTGAACCAAAGCCCCAAGCAAGCATTCCTACAGAAGACAGAAGAGACCGTAAGAAATGTGTTTGTCAAAAAAAAGGTAGTACCATTATACCTTGAATATGTGGGATCCTGTATGAGCATCGACAGCACTGAAGGGATCGTCGAACAAATAAATGTCGGCGTCCTGATACAGAGCTCGTGCTATCTGAACTCTCTGCTTCTGCCCACCGCTGAGGTTGATGCCTCGCTCTCCAATGACCGTCTGGTCGCCCGACGGGAAGCTCTCCAGGTCTTTCTTCAGCGAACACAGCTCTAGCACTCTGTCATACTTCTCACTGTCCATCTCCTTGCCGAACAGTATGTTCTCCTGAACCTTGCCGCTCTGTATCCACGCTGACTGGCTCACATACGCTATTGTCCCGCAGGTCCTGACCACTCCTGATAGCTTCGGAACCTCGCCAAGAATGCAAGAGAGCAGGCTCGATTTTCCGGAGCCGACCGTGCCGCAGACCGCGACGCGCATGCCTCGACGAGCTTGAAAGACGAGCTTGAAAGTTGAGGTCCTTGAGCGTTGGCATTTCAGGCGAGGCGTCCCAGGAGAAGCACCCATTGCTGACCTCGATTGCAACATCCGAGCTGCCGATTGGCAGCCTCTGCACAGCGTCCGTCGGGAACTCCTCGAGGCATAGGAAGGATGCTAGGTCTGGATGATGGCCGAGATCCTGTCTGGAAGGTTGTATATCGATTCCTGCAGCACCCGGAGTGTGGCCAATGCAGACAGCACCTTGCCCGACTCCAATGGTATCCCCATCAGGACGCACGCTCCGAAGGTGACCACGGCGATGAATGTAGGGGCGCTCCAGAAGATGAAGGTGATCATGGTCGAGGTGTAAAGGTACTTCTTGAGCCAGTTCGTCTCCGTCTTCCTGAGGGCGATGATCTTGGACAAGAACTTCATCTCCCACCCCTGCAGCTTGAGGATCCTCATGTTGCGCAGGATCTCGGACGTCGCCTTCATCCGAACGTCCTTGCTCCTCATCAGATTCTGCTGGACCTTCTCCTGGACTTTCACCGAAGGGACGTTGACGAGCATGACAGCCGCGGTGGCGCCGAGCGCGGCGAGCGAGGCAAGCCCGAGAGTGGAGTAGAGGACGAACATCGCCATGCCTACTTGGAGCGGCACCAGCCACAGGTCGTGGATGTACCAGGAGGAGTTCCCGACACGGTCGGCGTCGACGCCGACGATGTTGACCATCTCGCCGCTCGAGTGGGCCTGCCTGGAACGGCCGGAGAGGGCCAGCCCCTTCTCGTACACGACGGCGACCAGCGCGGACCGCGCGCGTATCCCGACCTGCTGCAGCCGGAAGCACGAGTGCTGCTGCGACAAACACTCGAACACCTTGGCTGCGATGAAGGCGAGGACGAGGAGCTGCCCCTTGCTCGGGCGCCTCTCGTCGCCGCCGTTGAGGTACTGCACGAGGGAGTCGATGAGGTACGGGCCGACGTAGGTGGCCACGTTGTAGACGAGAGCGTAGAGCGCGGTCACCGCGACGTGCCAGCGGAAGGTGCGCACCAGGACCTTGGCGAGCTTGAACGCCGTCACCCTTTGGCTCGTGGTGCCGTCGCCGGCGACCGTCGCGAGGTTGGCCTTGAACGAGGGGAGCAGGCCGGCCACGCTGTCGCCGGGGTCGAGGCCCGGGACGTCGTCGAGGCCGAGGGCCTTCTTGTGGCCCACGGCGAGCAGCGGCCCCATCCAGGAGAAGGTGAGGACGCCGAGGAGGCCGGCGCCGGCGTACGCAGAGGCACAGGCGCTGCTGCTCTCGCTCGCGCCATCTAGCAGGGGCTCCTCTGAAGCAGAACCGCCCGCTAGTTCGCTCTTGCCGAACAGCCCGGCGACGAGCAGCACCACGGCAGCGAGGACCGAGACGGCGTCGAGCGCCCAGGAACGCGCGGGCACGGGGAGCCCGTCGAGGCTCGTCGCGGCGTGGACGGCGACTGCGAGGACCGACAGCAGCAGGAAGAGCGCCCACCAGAGCCTGAGCGGCGCCGGGAACCGCTCGTCGCGGCGGAACTCGAACTGCAGGTACGCCGCGAGCAGCAGCCACGCCACCCCGCGCGCGGCGGCATCCACCTGCTCCACCGCCGCGTGGAGCGTCCACCCGGCGCCGGCGCCAAGGTAGCAGGAGTACGCGGCGAGGAGGAGCTGGAACGCCGCCAGAGCCCACATGGTGCAGGTCGCCACCACGTAGCACCGGACCCCGCCCACGGTGCTCACGGTGTCCTTCCCGCGGCGGGGGAAGAGCCGGCTCCCAGCAACGGCGAGCGCGAGGATGAGGTGGACCCCGGCGCTCACGCCGTGGAGGAGGAAGCAGGGCAGTGATCGCTCGCTCGCCTCCATCGCTGCCGCTCGGTCAGGGCGAGGGCTTACACAGGGTCAGTCACTCGCATCGCCTCTGGTCGTGACGGCGCGGCACCTTGCGGTGCAAGGCGACGCCGTCCTCTCCACGTTTGCTCTGATCGCCGGTAGTGTGTTGGCGGCCAAGTCCTTGGTCAATTCTTGACTTGGGTTGAAGTTGAATGTTCTCTCGTCGGTTGCTCTGATTGATTTTGTTTCTCCACTGCCTTGTTGGAAATGGCGTCACACCACACCGATGGAATGTGCGTGCACAAGCTCGTCTTTAGCTTTCGATACCGACTGCCGGCTCTCTGATTTCCACCGAAAAAAGGGACGGGGTGAATGCGTACGTGCATGGTGCCATTGGTGCGGTATATTACAAAGAGTTGAGTTGGTTAGGTGCACTGGCGGAGCCACGATTCGAGTAGAGGAGGGGGGGTTGCAGACCCCTGGTTAGGTGGACAGTGATATCCCTAACCCATCAGGGTTCAAATCCTGGTGCTCGCATTATTCCTGAATTTATTTCAGTATTTCCGGCGATGCGCTTTCAGTGGGAGGAGACGTTCCCGTCGACGACGAGGCGCCTACGGTGACTTCGTAAATCTCAAGATGATATGCCGGCTCAGTCTCTCGGAGGTGCTCATAGAGGTAGGGCGCTCCACCTCAGCCCATATCGCGAACTCGAGGTCCTTGGCTCTGCCGCACTTCACGACGTCCCCGACCACGCGAGCGATAGTGGATATGCAGGACTTCGTCGGGTAGAAGCTGAGCTGCAGGCGGGGTCTCGATGGCACGACGACATCTGCACGTCGGAGGAGAGATCAGTCTCAGCGTCGTGTCGGTGTAGACGACCATTGCCTGACCCATCATGGCTGGCCCTTCGCAACAGGTGTTAGACATCTAACGGACTAGCCAGGAGAGGGCTACCATACCAGGACTCATGCCCATTCTGCAACCAGGAGGAAGAAACTATCAATCATCTATTACTAACTTGCGTGTTCTCGAGAGAGGTTTGGGCGCACATCTGCCATGCACTGGAGGTGCCGGCATGGGCGCCTAGTGGGACTGAGGTGCTTTTCGCATGGTGCCAAGGTAGAGAGAAACAGGGCCTAAGCATCAAGACTACTAGGGCAATAATTTTGCTTGGTCTTTGGGAGCCGTGGAAGCATCGAAATGCAGTGGTCTTTAATTTGATGGTGTTGCTTCGAATATTGCCAAGGTCATGCGACATGTGGAGCAAGAAGGAAGAGCATGATGGAATGCAGGCTCATGAAGAGCAGCGTAGAGAGTTTATTCGGCAGGTTAAGTAGGTGGAGTATGAGTGACTAGTCGTATCCATGAGATAGACCATAAGTATGGTGTGGACTGTGGGGTGGATTAAATGGCGCGGTGTAACATGTAAAATGTAACCGCACCTGTGGAGGGCTCTGTTTGCCCTTTCCTTTTTTTATTTACTAGTAAGCTTGCACGTGCAACACACGTCTGGACTGAAAGCATATTATACAATGAAACATATCTTTTTATCATAATTTCATTTCAAAAATATACATTTCTAATTCCCAAGTTATAAAGATAGGATCTATTTTATTGACAGGATTTATCACTACTTTAGCTACTTTAGTAGCTTGGCCAATTACACGGAATTCGTGATTATTCTATTTCCTGATGCTTGCTATGTATAGTGGTCAAATAGGATTATTTTCTTTGCGAGACCTTTTACTATTTTTTATCATGTGGGAGTTAGAATTAATTCTTGTTTACTTACTTTTATCCGAGTGAAGCGGCCCCAGGTGTAACATGTGGAAATTGATAGGATTTATCGCTTCACTCGCAGCAAACCATCAGGTTGCATCGATATCATATCTTTATCACCAAAATAAAACATGAATCATGCTACTCATTGCCTATAGGTCCTGACCAATGTAGTTCAATGGCCAACCCTTCCCCTTGCGGTTGTACCAAGCGACGACCCATACATACCCGTCGACGGAGCCGCTTCGCCCAACTCACAACAGCTGTCGTCGGCTCGCTCGTCTCCCTCACAGAACGGCATCGCTTCGCTCGCAGCAAACCATTAGGCTGCATCGATATCATATCTTTATCACCAAAATAAGACATGAATCATGCTACTCATTAC